GGAGTAAGGACCACTGGGGGAGGAGGGGGGAGTAAGGACAACTGGGGGAGGAAGAACCACTGGGGGAGGAAGGGGGGGGAATAAGAACCACTGGGGAAGGGGGGGTGGAGAGTAAGGACCACTGAGGGAGGGGAGGTAAGGACCACTGAGGGAGGAGGGGGGGAGGTCCACTAAGGGGTTTGGGAGAGGGAGGACCACCAAAGGGGGGTAAGTAGGGAGGACCACTAAGGAGAGGGGAGGAGGGTAAGGACCACTAAAGGGGGGGGGAGAAAGAGGATAATGACCACTTAGGAGGGGGAGATTACCACTAAGGGGGTGTGTGACGGAACGCTGGCACTCCGACTGAGTACCTCCGCCAATCGATGCTCCTAGTGCTCGCTGAGGACTCCAAGCACTCCAACTGACACCATCAGCACTGCAGACCCCACTTCCAGCGAAGCAACTGCGCCGGGGTCTCTGCTGTCTCCAACCACCCTGGACCCAAGGCCAGGATCCAGCTTCCAGTGGGTGAACCTCTCTTTCTCCAGAGAGCAGGAACAGGAACAAATCAAGCTATTGCAAGAGCTTCCTCTGGGGAGTAAGTGATTATAGCAATCCCCAGAGTGTAGGTATCCCTTCCCCCAAACATGAGCCAAGGCTTAATGCTGGAACAAGACTGATTTACTGGCACACAGAACTCACAATTTATGCAACACAAAACTCCTCCTCTGGGCCAGGCTAGATAATTGAGTTTCTACAATACACAAAGCTCAATTATCTGCTGGCCAGAAATAATACAGTTTCATAAAACACACAGGGACCCCAAAACATGCAATAACCCCATAAAAAGTATATTCTTGGAACCGGGGGATCTGGGTGAACCACATATCCAAAATTCACCCAGATCCGTTCAGTACTTTGGAAAATACAGTTTAATGCAGATTCTGCAGAACATATACAGGCTAAATGAAAAACAATCACTGTATAATGTGTCCCCTGCTGTATAGTCCAAAACCACTGCACGATGTCTCTGTGCACCAAATACTGGCAAGATGGCACCGTGTTGAAAAGTCCAAACAGTGTCTGTGAGTTAAAATGGCCGCCATCCATTGTTCTCACCATGTGCTTCTGATACAGGAAATGGTGGCCACCCAGTAACTCCACAGTATGTCCCCAGATGGTTCCTAAAGGGCCAGCAGCAGCACAACACAAATCCATTATGCCCAAATCATGTCTTTAAAGGGAAAAACATCCCAGGGGCCATAGTCACAGGGCAAGAGGCGGGCAAGCAGTCCTCTCCAGGCACAAGTGGCGAAGGGCACTTCGTCACAGGGTGGGGGGAGGAGGGGAATGTCTAAGGGGAGGGATGGAGGACCACTAAGGGGGAGTGAGAAGACCACCAAGGGGGGACTACAGGGGGCCAAGGGAGAGCACTAAGGGACAGGAGGGAAGGGGAAATCAATAATTGACAGGAGGGTGAGCATTATGCAAAAAATTTAAAAAATAAAGAGCTGCTCCCCTCTCAATCCCTATCCTACCCCACAAACCCTCTCTTTTACACTAAACACATACACAATGCATCCCCCCCCACACACACACACAGAGAAACGTACAATGCATTCCTACTCACACACCCGAAACACACAATGCATCCCTTATGTTCACACAAACTCATTCTCTTACACACAGAAACAAAATGCATCTCTTACACAATCAATGCACCCCTTACAGACACACACTGCATTCAATTAAATACACAGAAACACACCTTGCACCCCTTACACACACACACCCAGAAACATACAATGCATTCCTTACACGCAAACACACACTGCATCCCCTATAAACACACTACATCCCTTACAGAAATTGGTATCCCTATACACTACATTCTATAAGAACACACACACACACATTGCATCCTCTACAATAACACATAAAACATCCCCTACACACATACACTCCACTTCCTGTGAGAGAACTCATGGGTGGGCCATGTAGGTATTTATGGGTGGGCATTGTAGGTCAAGAAAAAAGAAAGGAAGGCAGCGCCACTATAAACCACATAAATTAAAAGAGCACAGAATAGGCAGACTAGAATGCAATATATATGATAGAAAAAAAAAAATATGACATCATTTTGGCGCCATTTTCTAATATGTTCACTGCCTATATAAACCTGAATGTAACAGGATGTACTTTCTGATCTCCACTTGATAAAGCCTAAGGGCGAAACGCGTTGTGGTTTTTTAAATTATATTGTTTTAAATAAAGGTATTTTGGCCACTTTCTTACTGTGAGTTAGCCATCTTACTTTTTATTACTATTATTATTTTACTTTTTTATTACTACCATCCTTTTATCCGGCACAGAAGTGTTTTTACTTTCCAGTGAGGATATTACTCCCAAGAATCCTAGGTGGGGATTATACCACTCAAGCTGTATTCATTGAACAGTCAGTCTGTTCAACTAAATGTGAGTAACCACTTGGTTTTTTATCTTCTCACCTCTGGCATTTTATACTTTGAGCACCATTGTTGTTCCGCTTTTATTTCCACATATGGTTCCCTAATCAAGAAAGAATACTAAGACCTCACGTATCCCATAAGTGGGGATTATACCACTGTACGTTATCAACACTAGAGCTAAGTCCATAGCTCTTGAAAACGTGAGTAGGACCATATACTCTTTTATTGCTTCTACCCCCTTTGGGACATACTATACCATCAGTTGTTATTTTTTTATTTCATATGATGTACAAAGACGCATCTACACCACTCTGAAGAATCCCCAACTACAAAAGACTGTATTCACCTCTACAAAGAAATACCTTGTTGTTTGATTCATCTACCAGTCAGACTATTTATTCTGGACTTCTATTTGCTTATTATCTATTATATATATTGCATTCTAGTCTGCCTATTCTGTGCTCTTTTAATTTATGTGGTTTATAGTGGCGCTGCCTTCCTTTCTTTTTTCTGTACCATTTCTGTTGTAAGGCCTGTGAGGGAGCCCTACTTTTTAGGTGTGCTGCCAGTTTTTACTTATTTATTATTGTTTCTGTTGTATTTTGTATAGATAGAGAGCGCTGATCCCTTTCTTCTGTTCTATACTCACGGTCAAGCCCTGGGGGCCCAGACCTTGAGCTGTGTAAGGGGCCCTAAATATGGAGCTGCTTCCTGTTCGTTAATTGTTGTGAACACTGTTAAAAACAGTCTCCTGAGAGCCTCTTCTACACCAGACCTGGGGAGCCAGACAGAGCCCATCATCAGCCTCTTGTCCTCACCTGGTGGTAAGTAGGCAATCCAATATATTATTAGTGGCACTAATCTCTAATTTACCTCACATTAAATGGATACTATAGTCACCAGAAGCACTACAGCATAATGTAATGGTTCTGGTGTCTATAGCCTGTGCCTGTAGGCTTTTTAATGTAAACACACCGTCTTTTCAGATAAAAGACACTTTGTGAAGACTGGCATTGGCCCATATGGCAGAGCATATGGGCGGGGCATTGTGATGTCACATGGTGGGCAGGTAATATGGGTAGGGGGGGGGGGGCAAAATCTTTTTTGCCTAGGGCACCGGCCCTGCATCCAGAATGTAGTTAAAATTGTGTCTGTTTAAATTGGGTTATATGTTATCTGAGGGGAGGAGACGTGGGGGTTGAACCATGTATGTAATTGGCTGTTGTGATAATTATGTGGGTGTAGCCTTTCAGAGGGCACCATTGCATAAAAGGAGACCCCTGTCAATAAACATCAGTTCTACTTGACCCTTCAAAACATAGCCTCGTCTCGTTCTTGGAGGGGATTTATGGTACCGTTACTCTGCCTCATTTTACAGCACTCCTGGATTATACACTTGGATATCGTGGATGGGAATAAGAACTCCATTACTTCACAGCAGCTTGCCTAGAAAAGGACGTCTCCAACGGCAGATACCCCTCTCCAGCTGGGTAGCCGTTACATTGGTGGCAGCGGCGGGATGGTCCTTTTCATCCCCAAAGCAAGTGCTGAATGGAATCCCAGTACGCTAAACTGAAAAGACCCACACTAAAGGATCTATTGGAAACCAGAGGAAGGCGTGCCAGCAACCGACCACGGAGAGAGCTGATAGCTGACCTACTGGAGCTGGACGAGATGGATCGATCCATGGAGGACGCAGACCAACCTACCCCTGTCAGCGAGGAGGAGGAAATTATAAATCTTGTCCAGCGGAGATTATCCATGTACCCAGCAACATCCGTGGAACTAATAGATCAGCTGTTCCGGGAAGCGAGAACAGAGATACAAAATAGGAGGGGACACGAACTTGAACTGGCAAGAGCTAGACAACCCATTGCACACGCAGTTCACACTCCCCCACCCGCTGCTACAGGGCAGAAAATACCCTTCACTGCGTTCAAAGCGTTTGTGGAAAGTGAGGAAGAGATTGACGGATATTTGGCTGACTTCGAGAGGCAGTGCTCACTATACCAAATACCACTAGACCAATGGGTCACTATTTTGGCTGGAAAGCTATCAGGAAAAGCAAATGAGGCTTTTCGGGCGCTTACTGAGGAAGATATTGCGCAGTATCGCCGGGTGAAGGCTGCACTGCTCACCAGATATGCCGTCACCCCGGAAACGTATCGCCGTCGCTTCAGGGAGTCTAAAAAGAAGGCTGCAGACTCCCACATGGAATGGGCAAACAAGATGCAAAGGGTGGCATCACATTGGGTGTGAGGGTGCAATGCCAACACAGGAGAGGAAGTACTACAACTATTCCTAATGGAACATTTCTTCCAAGATCTGGCGGCAGACATACAGGATTGGGTGAGAGATCGTCGCCCTGCTAACTTAATCGAGGCAGCGCGGCTAGCGGACGAATACGCAGAGTCAAAAAAGGTGAGCCAAGGGTCCACACGACCAACCCCTAGAGCAGAACCACGCACCTCAACGCCCGCTGCACGCACAGAATTTCGGGCCCCAGTACCCCCAGGACCTCCACGGCCTCAGGGGTCTAACCACCAACCCCGGGATTCTTACAAAATTACGTGCCATCGCTGCGGCAACACGGGGCATATTGCTCGTTATTGCCCATTGGGATCAGCCAATAACAACTGGAGGCGCTCGACCAATAACCCAGAAACCCCTTCATCATGTACCTCTGCTGCTCACTGCCTGGAAACCGAAGGGAGCCCTGAGGAGTGTTTGGGCATCCTGTACGAGGCAAACCCCATACAAGCTGCATCCCCAGATAACCGCCAGCATCACCGCCAGGAGGTGCGTGTAAATGGACAGGTAGCACAAGGCCTAAGGGACACTGGCGCTACCATCACTTTGGTGCAGAAACATCTCGTGAAACCAGAGCATGTATCTACCCGTACTGTTGCTGTCCGTGTCGCAGGGGGGGGCTGTTTTTCGCTTACCCACTGCCCGGGTACACTTGGATTGGGGAGTCGGGTCGGGAAAGACCACAGTTGGAATCATGGACAATTTACCTGCTGAAGTCGTGTTGGGCAACGACATTGGCCCTCTGGCTTCAGCTTATCTACCCACGACTGCTGCTGCTTGTCCCGTGACCACCCGCTCACAGACCCGTATCGAGGACGATCCTCCAGCAGAACGGGAGACCCAGGTAAGCCACAAACAGACACTCAGCCCTAACACGGTAGAAAGACCCATAGCTTGGGACACCCCAGAGGAGTTTGGAAGGGAAACTAGACAGGACCCCACCCTCCAAAAGTATCGGGAATTAGCTAACAGTGGAGGGGATGAGCGGGAGCATTTTCTATGGGAGGGTGACAGATTATACAGGTTGACCCAAGGTAGGAGGAGAGGCTGTATCCCTTCGCAGAAGCACCAACTAGTGGTACCCAGAAAGTACCGGTTGGAACTTCTCCGAATTGGACATGACATTCCGTTGGCAGGACATTTATGAGGTAACCACACCGCCTACAGGATCACACAGACCTTTTTCTGGCCTGGGATCTCGAAAGACGTGCGGCGTTACTGCAGTACCTGTGACACATGCCAACAAGTAGGGAAGAGAGGGGACCACCCTAAAGCTCGACTGTCACCCATGCCTGTGATCGAGGAACCGTTTAGCCGGGTGGCAGTCGACCTAGTGGGACCTCTACCTAACCCCAGTCCCTCGGGTAAGAAGTATATTCTTACAGTAGTGGACTATGCTACCCGCTACCCAGAGGCTGTCGCTCTGACGAATATCCAGGCTGACACTGTCGCCAGTGCCCTAGTCGGGATATTCACCAGAGTGGGATTTCCTCAGGAAATCCTATCTGACAGAGGGACCCAGTTCACCGCAGATCTAACCCAGCAGTTATGGAAGGTCCGTGGTGTCAAGACCCTGCTCAGCTCCCCGTACCACCCCCAGACTGTTACGGGCAAATGCAAATATTACAAGTTTTAGAATGAAATGTTGTATTTCTTAAACTGTGTACTTTGTCTTTAAGAGATATTGCAAACTGACAAGGTGTTAGAAATGGAACATATTGTTTTTCATAACTGTTTCTTTAAGCAATAACCTCAGTGCATAATATGTTTGCGCCATTTTGTCCCAGACGAATTACAATAACAATAATGCATAAACAAGTTTCAAGGCTATGCTACGACTCTTGCAGTACACAATATACTGTGGTAACCCCAAGTTAATGGAACTTCCCCAAATCTGGGAATCTCCCACTACTGTACACTTACGACTTAGTATAAACAACAGATAAGCTATTCAGACTTTAAGATGCCATCTTGAACTAAGTCAGGAAAATTTCCATGACGTATACACCCTTTAGTTATGGCCTTGTATGTTTGCCAAATTAAGGGAGGTCCTAAATTGAATAAAGTAAAAGAAGTGTTACTTTTTCATATTTGAACTACGGTAACCTTAAAATGGAGACACCTAAGGTATAAATAGGTGTACTTTTAAATGTTAAGACACAGAGGAGAGACTTGGAGACAGACGCTGCTCCATCTTAAAATGACAGAGAGGCTGACATGATGACATGTTCAGAAGGGTATGTTAACCTATTAATGATATTTGCAAGCATGTAATTTAAATCTTATAAACTCTGCTATAATGGATTTTATATTTTTATATAATAAATATCCAAAAGACAATCTTGCTTCCAAGACAATCCTTATTTTATATTGTATTCTCAATTATTTATATATGTTAAATAGAGGATCTCTTACACTATATAAAATTATGGCTAAGATATCTGTATGGTTAGCCCTACTAAGTTCTATGCTTTAAGACAGACCGTGACAGACGCATACCCCATGCCCCGAGTAGACAAACTATTAGATCGTATTGCCAGGGGACGCTATCTGACCACCATCGATCTGTGCAAAGGGTACTGACAGATTCCCCTGGCCAAGGACGCTATCCCTAAGTCGGCGTTTGTCACCCCGTTTGGCTTGTACCAGTTTAAGGTCATGCCATTCGAGATGAAAAACGCCCCAGCTACATTTCAACGCTTAGTGGACCGTCTCCTTGATGGCTTCCAGGAATTCGCATGCGCATACCTGGATGATATTGCGATCTATAGTGAGACTTGGGGATAACATTTAAGACATGTAGAGGCTGTGCTGGATCAGATTAGGGCCGCAGGCCTAACTCTGAAACCAGAGAAATTTAATTTCGGAATGGCCGAAGTACAGTACTTGGGACACAGGGTAGGGTGTGGGAAACAGCGACCAGAACCCACTAAGGTGGAAGCTGTAGCCAATTGGCCCACACCCCACACCAAGACCCAAGTACTGGCATTCTTAGGGACTGCGGGATATTACAGGAAATTTGTCCCTGACTACAGCGCCATCACTAAACCCCTGACAGATTTGACAAAGAAAAATTTGCAGAGAGTAGTCCTGTGGTCTCCCACCTGCGAAACAGCGTTCCAAACCCTGAAACAAGCCCTGATCAACGCACCGGTTTTGTCTGTCCCCGTCCCTAACAAAAGATTTGTTGTCCATACAGATGAGTCCATGTACGGACTTGGGGCAGTTCTGAGCCAGGTCGGGGAAGATGGAGGGGAACACCCTGTCACGTACCTGAGTAGGAAACTATTACCCAGGGAAGTGAGCTACGCGGCAGTGCAAAAGGAGTGTCTAGCCCTGGTCTGGGCCCTAAAGAAGCTCACCCCATACCTCTACGGTCAGTAATTCACGTTGATCACATACCATAACCCCCTAGTATGGCTGAACCGAGTGGCTGGGGACAATGGACGATTACTAAGATGGAGCCTGGCACGACAACCGTACAACTTCTCCATCCAGTATCGCCCTGGCCGGTTCAATGGGAATGCAGACGGACTGTCCAGGCAAACAGAACTTTTACCTTGACTAAAGACCGGACAGCCTCAAGTAGATCCATAACTCCCAAACCCCTCAACCGAATGGGCTGAAATTTGGATATATTGTTAAACTTAAAGGTGTACTTAAAGGTGTACCCCCTGTTTTTGGGGTACATCCAGAATGTAGTTAAAATTGTGTCTGTTTTAATTGGGTTATATGTTATCTGAGGGGAGGAGACGTGGGGGTTGAACCATGTATCTAATTGGCTGTTATGATAATTATGTGGGTGTAGCCTTTCAGAGGGCACCATTGCATAAAAAGAGACCCCCTGTCAATAAACATCAGTTCTACTTGACCCTTCAAAACGTAGCCTCGTCTCGTTCTTGGAGGGGATTTATGGTACCGTTACTCTGCCTCATTTTACAGCACTCCTGGATTATACCCTTGGATATCGTGGATGGGAATAAGATCTCCATTACTTCACAGCAGCTTGCCTAGAAAAGGACGTCTCCAACAGCAGATACCCCTCTCCAGCTGGGTAGGCGTTATAATGCATATTACAAGCTGTAACGGAGCTCCCTGTACTCCAGCCGAGTATCCTCCGTTAATGGATGCTCCTAGCGCTTCCTGAGGACTCCAAACACTGCAGCAGACACCACAACCACCGCAGACTCCACAACCGCCGTAGCTTCACTGGAGTCTCGCCGTCTTCCTTCCACCCTGGATGAACCTCCAGCATTCAGGACCATGTGGGGAAGACCTGTCCTCCAAGGAGAGCGTAACCGGAACAAGCTCTTAAAAGAGCTAAGTGATTAAAGCTCAAGGGTGTATGCAGAGCATAGCAAACCCCAGTGTGAATATAGCAGTCCCCTACAAACATGAGTCAAGGCTGCAAGTTAGTGGGTCAAGTCATTCTGTTTATTGGCACCAAAAGAACCTTCTTTTATGCAGGTTTCCCGGAGATAGGACCACCCACAGGGTTTTACAAAACAACCAATCATACACGTACATTACAGAAACACTCCCAGCAATTACATACAAAAATCCTCCCCTCTGCCTGTGATATAATTATGTTACACAATGGTTTAACATAATTAACACAGGCAGTAAAAATACAGTTTTTATCCATACACTGTAACTTTAAAACTACACATCCAATCTTCATAAAAATTACATATTATTAATCAGCACACTTTAATAACCATAACCAAAAATCAGACAAATCCATCCAGGGGTTAAAAAGTTAGCTGGAGGTCCCTTTATGACCGACCGCAAGCACATTTTCATGCCCAAAACAGTTCCATAGATTTGGGCTGTGCGGCCAGCCTATTTCAGGCTGAAAAAACGACTAAGTCCCATCGCCGAATAGGACTTAGTCTCTGCGGCTGTAAAATCAGTATGGGAGAAGGTAGAGCTCAGCGGTGTTCGCGGAAATGTGTAGCCGATTTTAGTTCCATGAATTAGGCTACACATACCACTGACCTCGTTCGCATTAACAAAGATGGCCGCCGACACGTGTTCGGCAAAAGAAACAAAGGCCACCCAGCATTGTCAATTAAGCTGCAGTTAACCGCAGCTTCTGGGAGGTAAATTGCCTGCACACTTCCACTTCTGGGTGGTCTGCCTGTGTGGTACTTGGTTCAGTAAGCCCCATTTACTGAACAAAGAGGGAAATAGCCCGACACAAAGAGTTTTAACCAGGTCTGGGGACACAGGGGACACCGTCTTAAAGGGGCAGTGTCCCAAACAAGTCTGGGGACACCGTCTGTAACGGCACCCTCAGCATAAAAGGGTTAAACTGCCGTTTAGTAGATCTTCCCTTCCAGAGACACAGGCACAGCTACTGCAGAACACCAATCCGCCGAACAGCAAACCATACGAATGCTGTAAACAGCCGAATAGGAAAAACCATACGAATAGGTTTACACTCCTAGCAGTCAAACTGGAACAGCATACCATAAATCCCCCCAAGAACGAGACAAAGCTCCGTGTTGAGGGTCAAGCAGTGAACAGACAGAGCTGTGGGTTTATTGTTCTTATATACACATTAGTACCACCCACAGGGTTTTGGAACACAACCAATAAACACATACAATACACTCAGACACTCCCACACAAAATCCTCCCCTCTGCCTGTGATACAATTACCTTACACAATGGGTAATGTAATTATAACAAGCAGAGAAATACAATTTTTCCACATTAATCATAACTTGAAAAGTATGCATCACATTCACATACAACTTACACTTTCAGAATCTGCATACTCCAAATACAAACATATGTTAAAATCATACAAATTGGTCCAGTGGTTCAAAAGATAGATCGTAGTCCTTTGTGACCAAAGGAAGCGTGGCTTTTCTGCCCAAAACCAGTTCCACAGAGTCTTCTATCCTGGAGATAATTGAGAAGTAATCAAGTTATCTCCAAGGACAGAAACAAAACTCCATTGAACACATGGCAGCAAAAGACAATAAAACACATAAAAACATATAACTGAGCAGCCATGGCACAAAACAGGTACATTCAACATATCCCCAGATAGCTCAGATCTGAGCGCACATTATTACTGAATGGCGCTCAGAGCACACACATACAGTTCAATTGCCATGGAGCCAAAGTCTTTCATTATACGAATGGGCTCCATGGCATAGCTATCTGGGGTATCACTGCTCAAACATGGCAAGCACCAAATGACCCGGCTTTCGTGTCTTCGCAGGCGAAAATCAGGTGTTTCAACATGGGGCCATAGTCTAAAGGCAGCAGGCGGGCAACCAGGCTCCTCCAATGCACAGTGGCGAGATTGGTCTCGTCACACCATCTTAAAGGGGCAGTGTCCCAATCTTCCTGATGCCACAAAAAGGTGCTTAAGGGGCCAGCACCAGTCCCATAAAGAGTCCAATATGCCCACTGACTGTCTTAAAGGGCCATACACACCCAATAAAAGTGCATACGTTTTCACAATCTCCCAGGGGCCATAGTCATGTGGAAGGAGGCTGGCAAATAGGCTTCTCCACAACCCAGGGAAGCAGGGCAATTTGCCATTTAAAGGGCCAGTTACAAATAGCAGTTTGTAACACA